AGAGAGAGAGAGAGAGAGAGAGAGAAGAAGGGCTCACCCAGGCCTCCTGTTTTTACCTGAAGCAGGGCTCGAGCTCACCCAATATGGGACTCAAACTCACCAACTGTGAGATCATGATCTGAGCCAAAGTCAGATGCTTAATGCTTGAGCCACCCAGGCAGTCCTTGCATTAGTTTAACAACCAAAATATAAAATTAATAGTGAAGACATAATTTCTACAGACCTTAAAATGATTTATAAAATACTAAAATAAGTCATTATTTCCTCATCAGTATCAGAAAAAGAGGACTAGCACTAGGAAAATATTTTTAAACTGCTAGAGTAAAAAGTGAGATCTTTTACCTGGGATTTCCTCTTAGTGCTGCATGGTGCAGAGCATTAAATCCATTATTGTTTGTAATGGTAACATCTGCTCCAGCTTCTAGAAGAACTGCCAGGATGTCATCACGTTTCTTACTTATTGCATCATGAAGAGGGGTATCACCTTCAGAATCCTTTTTTTAATTTAAAGAGATTTTCATCAGTTCTTGAACCAAACATTATATGTAATACTAATATATATACTGAACTACAAAACAGAAGCCATATCCAAAAACCATCAACAAAACATCCTATGTTAAATTTTAAGATGCAGGCAAGAGATATGAGCCTCATTATATTAAATAAATTCATACTCAATCTAAACACAATGAACACGTAGCCTACCAAAGAAAAGGAAAAATAATCACGTTCAAGTATGATTCAGCTAATTATAAAAAGTAATGAGGTGAAAAAGCTGCCCTCAAAATTCATTAGTTTAAAATAGCCGGCTATACCCATTCCTACCAGTAATTGTTATGCCTGAAATTTCAAAACAAACTTACACCAGTCTTGGGGCCCTATAGAAATGAATTAAAAATCAGTAGTTCTTGATCTTGGCTTCACATTTAGAATCTATAGGGGAGCTTTTAAAAAGATACCAGGCTGTTCTCCAGACCAACTAAACCAGAATTTCTGGGAGTGAGACCCAAGCATTAGTAGTTTTTCAGAGCTCCCCAGCTGTATATATTGTGTAGTCATGGGTGAAAATCATTAATCTAAATGTTTGCAAGGGGCAGAAAAGCAGTTAGTTAATCAAAATAGAAACAAATGTAAAAGAAAATTTAGCAGTCTCAGTCTTCCTCTTTTTTTCAAGCTGACTACTTTTTTCATTAATCAACTTACTTAGCAGTAAGTTATTATTCATTTTCAGTTATCTGCATAAATGGGTAATTTAGACCGCATTCATCTCATAGTTCCATAAATGTTAAGTCATACCTATGGCATGTACCACGGTTGCTACATCCAGCCTGCCACCTGTTTTTGTCAATAGTTTTATTGGAACATGGCCACACACAGTCATTTATGTATTATCAATGGCTGCTTTCACGCTATAATTGGAGCACTGGATAGTCATTATAGAAACTATATGAAAGCCTAAATTATCATCTGGCTCTTTATAGAAAAAGTTGGCCAATCCCAGACATATACTCATGTACCCTCATAACAGATTCCTAACCCAAGTTCAATCCAACCGTCTACTTTCTGTCCTCCGATGCAGTGGCACTAAAAATTCATACTCTTCAACTTCAGCTAGGCTCTTCACATGGTTGGAATAAGCTTCTACAGGCCCTGCTAGGTCATACCTTCTGGTCCCCACAGTAGCTATTCCAAATATTCTATCACTCTTCTCAATTACCTTTTCTATACCTACTACTGACCATTCACTCTCAACAGATGACTTTGCCTCCCATTTCAGACCAAATAAAATCAATAGGTATAAATTATCTCTCCTTCAACAGATTAACACTCTCTACTTCCTCCATCCTCCAATTCTGCCATCCACTTAGAGGGTCTAAGTTCCAAACCCTGTCAGTTCCACAATGCTGTGCCTCAGATATATCAGTCTCTGATAACCATCTAGCTGAACAAAATCTCCAATTCTTTCAGTTCTCAAACTTCCAGTCCCATTACTCCTGTTTTTCCTCTTCATTACTTCTCTGACACTTATCCAATCTAATCCATCTGGTTGCTAAAACTGTGGAAGGAATCATCTCTTAGGTGATTCTTGCCTCAAAAATTAGGTCCTACTTTAAATTAACCCTAAAACCCTGTATATTTTCCAAAACAGAAAATCTTCCTGAACTAATGACTAGACTAAGACTCTAAGATAAATTAAGCTACAATTAAAATAATTCAGATAGTTATAAAGCATCATGAAATGTAGCCTATTACACTTCCTTAAGCTGCAGAAGCTCATCGTTATGATCAATAAAATTAAATCAATTCATAAGCTGATATATTTGCAAGAAGTCCCCATCCTCACCTTCCAATATAAAATTAATCTACGAACACTTTCTTTAAAAAGGCTTTTCTGGGGCGCCTGGGTGGCGCAGTCGGTTAAGCGTCCGACTTCAGCCAGGTCACGATCTCGCGGTCTGTGAGTTCGAGCCCCGCATCAGGCTCTGGGCTGATGGCTCAGAGCCTGGAGCCTGTTTCCGATTCTGTGTCTCCCTCTCTCTCTGACCCTCCCCCGTTCAAGCTCTGTCTCTCTCTGTCCCAAAAATAAATAAAGGTTGAAAAAAAAAATTAAAAAAAAAAAAAAAAGGCTTTTCTAAGAAGGAATAATAGCTGCCAATTTTATCATATTCTATGCCTTTGGGATCATTTCCTATGACCGAACATACACAATGAACTGGTAACAAAGGAATGCTTACCAGAGAACTTAGTACTTCGCTTTAACAGAATCCTAGCAATGCCTGCAGAATATTCTTCATGAAAGACTTTACCTGGAGACTAGGATGACAGCCGAAGTCCAATAAAGTCTTCACAACCTGAAGATGGCCCTTATTAACAGCAATATGAAGTGGTGTCTGTCGGCGCTTGTTGCGAGCATTCAAATCAGCACTGCCCCGGTGCAGTACTTCTATAACAGCACCTTCATCTCCAAAAGCTGCGTGGTGAACAGCTCGATCTCCATCTTTATCCTAAACATCATCATTGAAATCTGAATTAGTGAGTGAATTATTTTAGAAATAAAAATAATACCTGAAGCTATAATAATTCATCAAGAACCAGATTAATGTGAGAAAAGGTTACAAAGAACAGAGCCAACAAAATAACTAGCAAGTCACTTGAACAGTGATTAACTCCAAACAGAAATGATGAACCTGGATCAATACACTATTTCACATATATAGTGGACCAATACTTTTATCAGAAGTTAACAGTGATGATGGTAAGCCAACATTAGGAAAATGTTAAATGATGAGACAACCATTTATAAACGTTCTTTCCATTCAAAAAATTTTACAAAGGCTTTTTAATGACATAAAAATTATATAAATATTAGTTGAGCAATTTAAAAAAGACAGGATGCCAAATTGAGATCTCAATTAACTTTGAGAGAAATATATCAATATATTAACATTGGTTATCTCTGGCTAGTGAGGATACATTCTTCTCTATATTCAAGAACAGAAAAAATTTAAGTACTACCTGAAAAGATAAAAAAATGACACACAAATCAGCATAACTTGACATATCCAAAACCCAAAATTATTTCAGAAAAATCCAGGAGGTATGCCTTACCTTTTTTTAAGTTCATTTATTTACTTGGCGGGGGTGGGGTGGGGAGGTATGCACAAGCAGGGTAGGGGCAGAGAGAGAAGGAGGGAGAGAACCCCAAGCAAGCTCTGCTAAATCAGCACAGAGTCCCACATGGGGCCCAATCTCATGAATGGCGAGATCATGACCTGAGCCAAAATCAAGAGTTGGTGCTTAACTGACTGAACCATCCAGGTACCCCTAAAGTCTTACCTTTTATAACAGGCATATTTCTGGAGATGAGAGGCAGAGAAAGACCCAATTACTTATTTTTTCAAATATAAGAAACAACTTTTTAAAGAGGAAAAAAATGTCCATACTGTACCATGAAGATAATATACATAGTCTACACTAAAAAAGAAGTCCCATCACTTTGCTCGATCCAGATGGAGATATGTATTATAAGGATACTATCTTTATTTCAGACATCTCAAATTCTGACACTCAGAAGTAAGCACGCTCTGAGACTTTCTCCAGAGCAATGATTCCCAACCCACAGTCCTTCCCTCTCATGGAGTCCAGTTTTAGCAAGTGGTTTGAAAATCCATATGGTACTCAGCATTATTTGAACTACTTTTCACAGATTTAAATTAAAAACAAAACAACAGGGGCGCCTGGGTGGCTCAGTCGGTTGGGCGGCCGACTTCGGCTCAGGTCATGATCTCACGGTCCGTGAGTTCGAGCCCCGCGTCGGGCTCTGTGTTGACAGCTCAGAGCCTGGAGCTTGTTTCAGATTCTGTGTCTCCCTCTCTCTGACCCTCCCCCGTTCATGCTCTGTCTCTCTCTGTCTCAAAAATAAATAAACGTTAAAAAAAAAATTAAAAAAAATAAATAAAAATTAAAAACAAAAAAACAAAAAAAACAAAAAAACAACAGTTCAAAACAGTTGCTGAATTCAAAATAGTTTTTAGCCTTAGAATATTCTCAGACAGATATTAAAAGTAAAACCGCTAATATAGGGGTTCACAACAATTTGACAACCTCCCTTGCAAAGGTAGGAAACTATAACTCAGCAGTACTTCTACCTTACTAATATGCCAACTAAGCCAAACTAGTTGTTACCTGTCAACCTTGAGCATAAAGGAACTAGCACGCTACCACGTGAAAGATTTGATTCAACTCATGTGTCTCTGAGCATTATATTTAAGCAACCCAGAGAAATCAGCTTTTTACAAAAGAAAATTCTAGATTTGTGTGTGTGTGTGTGTGTGTGAGACAGAGAGACAAAGAGATGAAACCTCTCTAGTAGCATTATGTTTCAGAATCTTAGATTTAAGCTCTTCCTTCCCTGTAATTTGTTTAGATTTTTTTTTGTTATAATTTTTAAGGCAATCTAAGTGGTTCTTCTGTTAAAAATAACATCAATCCACTAACACTCGCCAAATAAAAACAGGAACTATTTATGAAATGTACCATATGTTTATGATTGTTAGAAAGCTGTTACTGAAACACTGTTATGCAGGTCCTGTCAACAATTTATTTACACAAAAAAAACCACTAAAAAATTAAAAACTCTTATATGTCAAAAGGATATATACATAAGAGAAACTTCAAGATTCTGGAAAATATATACAGTAGAAAACAATTACTTTGTTTTTCTTCAAAATAAAAAACCTCAGCTGCATAAAAACTTGAATAGGTTTTGTTGCTTTCTTCTGAATCCATTTGTAGTATCCAAATACACCTAATAGAAGCTCATTATTATGTCTCCCATCCTGGCACCAAATGAGATGTTGAGGGACAGGATCACAGCTGATCTCAATAAGGCTACCTGAAAGGATTTGTGCAGGGGCCTCAAATTAAACCTGCTCTTGGGTCTTTCTACCCTCTTATCCCCCTCTTTCCTCTGAACTTTGCAAAATCTGCTCTCATTCCCTAGGTTAGCTGACAGAACCACAAACCATATGGTCAACAAAATCAGTATGTGTAAGTTATGCTCACCTACTTCCTCTCCCTGAGACACAAAATATACAAACACAAAATCTATGCTTGTTACTCTTCAATTTACATTCAGATCTCTTCTCTCTTCTCCAGTCCTACCACGAATTAATTTAGGTCTTGATTCTCAGTCACCTAACTTATTGCCACAGCTTACCCTGCCTCCACTTTATTTTACCCCAATCCATTCTGCGCACTCTCTCGCTCCCTCTCTATCTTGCTCTCTCTCTCTCTCTCTCTCACACACACACACACACAAATTCCCTCTGTAAAGTATAACATCTATGTTTAAAACTCTAATGTAACCCTACTATATAAATAACAAACCTCTTTTAAAACCTATTTCTGTGGACCATATCATATTCATCTGCTGCCATCATTGCTTCACATATAAAACTCTAACTTACCAACTTATTTGACCCCCTATGTTCATATACTTCACCCCAGATATCAATGCGTTGATTCCTCACCTTGTTGGCTTGAGAACAGATACCCTTTACAATTCAGCTCAGACAACCTCTCCCTCCCCTATGAAACATCCCCTCTCACAAAATCTTATTATCACTCTGTAGTATAATTATTTGTTTTCAAGTACATCATTTTTAAAATGTTTATTTTTATTTTTGAGAGAGAGTGAGAGTGCAAGCAAGGGGAGGAACAGAGAGAGAGAGAGAAAGAGAGAGAGAGGGAATCCCAAGAGGACTCTGTGCTGCCAGCATAGAGCCTGATGCAGGGCTTGAACCATGAGATCATGATCTGAGCAGAAACCAAGAGTTGGTGCTTAACCAACTGAACCACTTAGGAACCCCTCCAAGTACATTATTCTTATTTGACTGCGAGTTTCTTTTGGGCTACAACTGTATCTTTGTCATCTTTATCCCCAGGATGCACCACAGTACCTACTAGCTAGTAAGAACCAACATGGGTACAGAGTTGAATCTTTAATATGCCTTAATTACAATCATGGGTTTTTTGGTTTTATTTTTTTCAAGAGACAGAGCATGTGCACATGTGAGGGGTAGGGGCAGAGCGAGAGTGGCAGTGGTGGGGGAGAAGGGGAGAGGGCGTAAGAGAGAGATCCTAAGCAGGCTCCAAGCTCAGCATGGAGCCTGATGCGGGGCTTAATCTCACAAACATGAGATCATGACCTGAGCCAAAATCAAGAGTTGGACACTTAATTGACTGACCCACCAAGGCATCCCTACAATCATGGTTTGTTTGTTTTTTTTTAAGTTCATTTATTCATTTTGAGAGAGAGCAAGCATGAGCAGGGGATGGGCAAAGACAGAAAGAATCCTAAGCAGGCTTTGTACTGTCAGTGCAGAGCCCAATGTGGGGCTTGAACCCACAAACCGTGAGAGCATGACCTAAGCTGAAACCAAGAGTCAGATGCTTAACCAACTGAGCCACACAGGTGCCCCTACAATCATGTTTTTTAAATGATTTTTTTTTACTGTAAAATACAAGTAACATAAAATTTATCATCTTAACCATCTCTAAGTATAAAATTCAGTGATATTAAACATATTCATATTGTTATGCACCCATCACCACCATCCATCTCCAGAACTCATCTTGTAAAACTAAAACTATACCTTTTACACAATAATTCTCCATTGTCCCTCTTCCCAACCCCTGGAAAACATTATTCTACTTTCTGTCTCTATGATTTTTGACTAGTCCAGGTACTTCACATAAATGGAAGCATACAGTATTTGTATTTTGCAATTGTCTTATTTCATTTAGCATCATGTCCTCAAGGTTCATCCACATTGTAGCATGAGGCAAAATTACCTTTCTTTTTAAGTAAATAATACTCCATTGTATGTATATATCACATTTTGTTTAGCCATTCATAAATCAAGAATACTTAGGTTGCTTCCAATTTTTAGCTACTTTGAATAATGATATGAACACTGTTCTTTCAATTCTTGTGGGTATATACCCAGAGATGGAATTGTTGGATCATACGGTAATTCTATTTTTAACAAATCACCATACTGTTTTCCACAGCAGCCATACAATTTTACATCCTCACCAACCTCCCCAAAGGGTTCCAATTTCTCCACATCCTCACATATTTTCTGTTTGGCTTTTTTTCTTTTTTTTTTTTTATAGTAGCCATCTGACTAGCTAGCTGTGAGGTGGTATCTCATTATGCTTTTGATTTACATTTCCCTAATGATTTGTGATGTTTAGCATCTTTTCAGGTGCTTATGAGCCATCCATATATTATTTGGAAAATGTCTATTCAAGTCCT